CCTGGCGTGCACGGTGTCGGCTTGCTGCGCGCAGCCCCTTCTCAGCCTCGCCAGAGCCCGCAGAGTCCAGAGACTGTTGCTAGGGGGAGTGTGGGCTCGAGGTTTTGAGCCCCAACTTGTGTAACCTCGGGGTGCGGAAGGGAGTGGAGGCCCCAGTTGGTTTCCTTTTTTGTTTGCGGAAAGGGCCAAGGTCGCTCCTCCCATCTTTCACTTTTCCCGAGAACTCAGGGAACACACGTTTGTGAACCACGAGGTACTGACTCGAACCACGTGCTGCCTCCGAGTGTCGCAGTCACCGCATTCTGAGTTCGCTCAAGTGTGAGCACCTCTAGTGTAAACACGCTGGTTGGAAGCGTCTTCGTTGAAGATAAGGTTTTACTGGTTTTTCAGTTACTGCAACTTTACTCCCGAGTATATCTCGTGTTCATTTACCCCTTCTCGCAACGTGTAGGTCATTGTAATACATGTAACATAAACGTTTTTCCCAATTGAGGTTTCTTCATAGTGCTGAGTTTTAGACAGCAGGGAGCCTGCCCAAATAACACATTAAAAAGTTTTAAACTTCATCGAAGTGTGTTCTAAAAAAAGACAAAACCATCTTAAATAGAATTATCTAATTATGTGTTTTTTGTTTGTCTTAAGGGCAAATGTCCAGAGGATGGTTGGGATGAAAGTACACTTGAACTCTTTCTCCATGAGCTCGCAATCATGGACAGCAACAATTTCCTGGGCAATTGTGGCGTGGGAGAAAGGGAAGGGCGAGTGGCCTCAGCGTTAGTTGCTCGGCGTCATTACAGGTATTTTTCTCAAATAGCATGTGAAAGCATTTATTCCCCCTCCCCCCCTTTTTTTTTTGGTNGTTTATTCCCCCTCCCCCCCCTTTTTTTTTGGTTAAAAAACAATGGTGACAATAGTCATCAGATTATAAAATGTCTGTCTGGAACATAGTTCTTCCATACTCAAATGGGCATGTAAACTAGATGCAACAATTTAATCTGAGTAGGTGCTTTTCAAGACGGGTTAAAAGTTCTTGCCAGGTTCTGGGTGATTTAACAATACTGGCTAACAGAACAGTTAACCTAATAAACCTATTATTTGTAAGAGTTTAAAATATGTTAAGGTTATTTATAGTTTTCTGTGTTCCTTTTCTATAGTTGCAAGTTTTTTTAGAGAATGCTGTATAGCTAGAACTTTAAATCATTGTTCATCTGCATCTAAACTCACTCCCATTTTATAAACACCTTGCTTTGTTGCAAGAGATACAGGAAAAGTGTATATTAAATTTAATTTTAGATTATTAAGTCACTCTTTTGTATTTTTTCAAAACTTTTCATCAATTCTGATAACCATTTCATTGATAGTGGTTCCAAATATAATCATTTCTCTATTCTCCAACCTTCCTGTGAAATACAGGTAAACTTTTAAAAACTCCTGTCTTCCATGACTTTAAATCATGATGAAATATTTCATTCCATTGTAAAATTTTATTTCCATCAAAACCACCAAACTTCTAGTTCAATCAAAAGGTACAAACTTCAAGTTATAAAATAAGTAAGTCATGGGATGTAATGTACAGCATGGTGCCTATAATTAATAATACTGTATTGTATATTTGGAAATTGCCAAGAGTAGATCTTAAAAGTTCTTATCACAAGAAAGAAAAATTTATTACTATGTGTGGTGATAGATATAAAACTATACTTGTGATCATTTTACAATATATACAAATATTGAATCATTATTTTGTATACCTGAAACTAATATGTTGTTATATGCCAGTTTACATGTGTCAGTTAAAAAATCTATTGCAGTTAAAACCAGTGATAATGTATAACTTGTGTGAAAAATTTATGTTAAAAATGGGCTGATAACAGTTGATGTTATCTGGAAAAAATGCTTTGTATGTGAGATTTCAGTGGTAATGAAGTGCAACAATATTCATCAGATTATTCTGTGATAATTTAGTGTTCTGTGATAATTCCAGTGTGCAGAATTTCCAATCTTTTTAACTATAAATTACAAATAGATTTTTGATTTTGAAGCATATTCAGAGATATTTTAAAATAGTGCATAACATCTAATATAAAATGAGTGGATTTGCATATGAATTTTCAAAGAATAGATTAAGCAATATTTGAAATATCAATGCATCCCCATTGGAACTCAGCCCCCTGCTCTGGTTAGGGGAAGAGGAAAGAAAGGAGAGAATTTAATGTTGCATATATTTTGCTTTTCTACTGTTGCACAACAAACTACTCTAAAACTTACTGACTTAAAACAATCATTTATCATCTCATAGTTCTGTGATAAACTGTCCTCAGAAAGGTGATGATTGCTTTGGGTTTCTCATGTAGTTGTAGTCAGACCTTGGCTGAGAGTTTAGTCATCTGAAAGTTCAACTGGGCAGTTTATCCAAGTTGACGCACTTAGATTGCTGGGAGCTCAGATGGCTTCTCTACATGGCTTTGGCTTCTCCCAGCATGGCATCTGGATTATAAGAGGGAGTCCCTCAACAACAACCCTTCTAGAGGCTTGGTAGAAAGCTTTAAGACTTCTTATGCTCTAACTCAGAAGTTCTAGACCGTCACTTCTGCTACATTCATTCTGGCCAAGCAAGTCACTAAGACCAGGCCAGATTCAAGTGGAGGGAATTAAACTCCATCTCTTGGTGTGGCAGTACCATATGGGCATAGGAGAAAAGGAATTAATGGTGGCCATCTTTGGAGACTAGATATCACAGCATAATTGATGAATTTGTTTCAATTTAATAGGATAGTTTCATATTACTTATAGTTTGTGAAATATATCTATAATAGTCAAGTATTGCTTCTGGCATTTTTTTGTTACTGTATTTGTATAGTTATACAGTGGATTACTTAGAACACTGAATATTTTTGTCCAGTTGTTGGCCCATTTTTTGCTTAGGTTCATTCATGGAATTGGACGATCGGGTGATATTTCTGCTGTGCAACCAAAAGCTGCAGGTTCTAGCCTTTTGAACAAAATTACCAATTCTTTGGTCCTGGACATCATAAAGATGGCTGGTATGTACTGTTTTTTGTGTTTTTTTTTTGTTTTTTAATACAAGCATGCTCTTTTTAAAAAAAAATGTATCTTTATTGATTTCAGAGAGAGGGAGAGAGAGAGATAGAAACATCAATGATGAGAGTCATTGATGGGCTGCCTCCTGCACGCCCCCAACTGGGGATCAAGCCTGCAACCCGAGCATGTGCCCTGACCGGGAATTGAACCCCGATCGCCTGGATGCTAGGTTGACGCTCAACCGCTGAGCCACGCCCGGGCCCATACTGTTAATCATAATACTTTTGGCTGATGAGCCACACACACCTGTGCCTAGTTTCAAAAAGGATATAAACGGCGTTTGAAAAGACCTATGTATATAAGAAAAACCCTTTAGAGTAAGATAGGAAATAAGGGTCATAATGGATGAATTTGGCTGTGAGCTTCCTGAGAATGAGTACAGAATAAGCAGCACTAAATGTATAGCTCATTATTTGCTAGAAGTGTATCATTTCTTCAAGAGGAATGCTGGTTTTTCAGTGGAATAACTAATTTCTGTTTTACTTCTTATTCCTAGGTGTCCATACAGTGGCCAATTGCTTTGTAGTGCCTATGGCAACTGGTATGAGTTTAACTCTGTGTTTCTTGACATTACGACACAAAAGACCAAAGGCAAAGTATATTATATGGCCACGAATAGACCAGAAGTCCTGTTTTAAATCCATGATCACTGCAGGTAAAAGAAGAGAAGTGGTGCATATAATGTCTTCAATATCACAGACATTTCAAACTTTTTATGTAAATATAGATAAATGAAAAAAACCTAAACCTGTTCCTATTTCTTCTTTTTATTGTGATAAAATATACGTAAAATTTACCATTTTAACCATTTTTAAATGTACATTTCCATGACATTAAGTACATTCACATTGTTGTGCATCCATCATCACCATTGTCTCCAGAACTTTTTCACCCTCTTAAACTGAAATTCTGCCCTTTGGACAGTAGCTGCCCCCTCCCTGCTACTCCTGTTCCCTAGCAATCATCCTACTTTCTTTCTCTACGCAGTTGACTACTCTAGAGCATTCGTCCTTTGTGACTGGTTTATTTTACTATGTCTTTGGGATTTAATCCATGGTATAGTATGTGTCAGAATTTCTTTCCTTTTTTAAGACTGAGTAATTCCATTTCCTCTGTGTGTGTATGTGTGTGTATCCTACATTTTGTTAATTAACTTGTTGATGGACACATGGGTTGCTTCTCTTTTGAGTACTGTGAATAACATTGCTGTGAACATGGGTGTACAAATACCTGCTTGAGTCCATGCTTTGAATTCTTTTGGGTATATATGCAAAAGTGGAATTCCTGGATCATATGTCCCTGGTCTTTAAAATAGGATTATGATTAGCTATTTCACTAGATTGTTTTGAGAATGAAATGGGATGACATAGAAAATGCCCAACAATAATCCCTGGAGTATGAAGGGAGTTTAGACGTGTTTGTTGTATGTACACGAGTGGAGTACACATAAATTGTTACCATGAATCAAAGTGCAAGGATAACAGGTGTCATTAAGTATAGCTGAGACAAAACTTTACATTGGTATTTTAGTATTTGGTTTGCTTAATTCAAGTCAAATTTGAGAATTTAAGGTTATTTTTGAATGGCTTCAGTCTGTTGTATGAAATTGGGTTGTAATTAAACTGCATAAATAATCCTAAGGAAATTCATGTAAAAGGATTTATAATAAGGACATAGAGCAGAAACTGATAGACTTTTAAAAACATACTGATTTATTTTACGTGGTATAAATTTGTCATGTCTGTTAATTTGCATTCTATTAACCAAAGAATTGATAGATAAACTTTTGGAATTTGGAAAAGATTGCCTTTCTGAAAAACTGGAAACATTTTTCTAGCAGGTGTCATGATTTGGACTATGATCTATAGTTTATTCTTTTTCGAGATAGCTTCTAAGGAAGCAAGGCCATTGTATTCTTAAAGAACACGCCTGTATTTTAATTGTTTGAAAGTCAAAGTAGGGTTGAGTCTAGAGAATTTGAGAAATAGTAGAAAGTTAGCCATCCTCAGGAAGCTACTTATTTAAGTTGTATATGTTTGTTTTAATAGCTGTGAAGGTATAGATTTTAAAGTCATGTAATACATCTCTGAACCACATATTTGAAATTATGATTATATAGTGGCAAAGGTTTTATATTTCTGTAGATAGAATTCAGACAACTTGATGTGGATTCTAAAACACTAAAGAAAACTACTTGCTCTTAACTTTGCTATAACTTGCTGTGTGACCTTGGGGAAGCCACTTAATCTTCCTGAACTTTGACTGCCTTATCTTTGAAATGAGTGAGTTGAGCTAAATGGTTTCTAAATCCCTTAGGCTTTTAAATCCATGAAACTAGCTTGTTGCTAGGTTTGGTATTTGGGAAGACTGAAGATGTGACTACATAATAACTTTATGTGCAAAATTTCCCAGGCATTTTCTATCCAACTTCTGAGACTTAAACTGTTAGGTTTTATTTTTACCCTAAGTATTTACTAGCATTACAGAGTACTTAGTTATATAAGAGCTTTGTACATTATTTAGTGTATACCTTATGCAACTTTTTATGTTTATGGATACCTAAATGTTTACCTAGGTTACATAGTTATTATTTTGGTGGACCTTGGATCACATGCTAGTTAAGTGTACTAATTCAATTGAAAATTGAAAAACAATTTTATATTTAGGTTATAGAAGGCCCTTGTAAGCTGTGAGATGAGCAGTGATCCCTAGGCTACTAAAATTCATTACCCTTTTCTTTAGAGGTAAAACATTAAGTTGATGATTGTGATTTGTTTCAATACTTGAGTTATTATTTGCTCATGTCTGAAATAAAGTGAACTTAAAAATAAAACTTTAGCATTGCCAGAGAATGTGTAGCTTTACTTTTCTGTGGACTGATATTGAACTGGACTAAGTGACCCTTTTTGTCATTAATGACTGTTACTACTTTTATAGGTATCTGTTTAACATTTGTTCATCTTACTTCCCAGAATTAGTCTTTCTTGTCATATCAAAGTGCTAAATAGATTTGTGGTGCTAATTGTGGTCTAGTGGTCCTCCACATTATTTTGACCTGCCTTTGATTCATTCCAGAATTGAGCCAGGTCTTTATTGCTAGAGGAGGGTTCATCAACCAAAATAAGTATTTAGAGTTCTTGTGTGGAATAATGCTGCTTCCTAGAGTTCCAGGACCTTCTCTTATTTTATTTTACGCTAACATTTTCATTTCTGCTCGGCTTGGTTAGGTTTTGAGCCTGTGGTGATAGAGAACATTTTAGAAGGTGACGAGCTGCGCACGGACCTGAAAGTAGTGGAAGAGAAAATCCAGGAACTTGGGCCCGATAACGTGCTGTGTGTTCATTCTACTACATCCTGTTTTGCTCCAAGGGTACCTGATAGGTAAGTGATTTGTGAATGTTGTCGTTTAGGTGTTCACCAGTCTTTTAAATAAAGTGCACACATACTAATTCTCAAAGATGCTTAAGTAACTTAAAGCTTAAGTAACTCACAGATGCTTAAATAAGATGCTTTATTTGACAGTAAATATGAATGGACTGTTCTAAGAGAATAGATTGACCTCATGGAGAAATAAGCATCCTCTCTTGAAAAAATAAAAATTTGATATAAAAGGAAAAACAATTAGCATCAAGTGAAGATTCCTTTATCACCCAAGTAGATGCAGAACATTTATTTTCTTGCTCTTTTTTCTGTTTCTGACCTTTTAGCATATTTCCCCTCATTATTTAATAGAAGTTTCTAAGCTAAATATTGGGTTTACTTGTTTTATTGCTATCTCCACTTTTTTGATCTTACAGTTAGTTTTCCTATGTAGGAACTATCAGTAGTAACTGATTTTAAATGGAAAATTTTAGAATTATTTACTGCCCTTTGAATATTTTTTAATTGGAAGATTAATCCAGATGTACACTTAGGTGTACACAGTAATTATCTTTGTATTCTGAGAAAAATGCAAATGTTTAAGAAAATAAAAGCAAAAAGAAAAAAAGCAAATGTTTACTTTTCTAAAGGATGGCCACAGATTTTTATTCTGAAAATGTAATAGGCTTAGTTATAGGAGTACAGATTTCTAGTTTTGACAGCAAGTCTTTGTTTCATTTTAACATTTTAGATGAAAGTGCTAGTAATTTGTTAAAATTATATTGAGTTTGTACTGTTTTTGTAGCATCAAGTTATACTTTGGTTTCCATGGAATCTAATTTGGCAGTAATCAATACATATTAGCTTTTACTATCTTATACATGGACTTTAAGAGACAATTTTAGAACCATGCTCATGAAAACTTACCTTGCTTTAATCATGAGTCTATGAATCCTGTTTTAAGATTATATTGAAAATAATATAATTAAAAAATAATAATACAAGAATAAACTCTGTGTTTCACATACTCGCAACTGTAAACCTAGTTTTGCCCCCCCATATTTTATATGCTTTATTTATTACCTACCAATCATATTTTAAATTTACATTGAAATATTATACATCTGTATTATTTCTTCATTGATGGTTTTGCTATCTAGAAAAATTTTAATGTGATAGAAATAAATCACACTTCCAAAAACAGCATATGGATATTTGTTAGATTATTTATCCCTGAAGATAGTATTGTTTTTGTCTCATCTTGACTCTTTTTGGATGTACAGTCTGCCTGGTGCGGTATTAAGTATTTTGCATGTATCATGAAGTTTTTTATCAGTAAAATTCTCATTTTAGTGGTAATATATGATGAATGTTTCTTATAAGAGTGAACTTCAGGAAAATGGTGAGACATCGTTATTAGTAATATGTTTGAATTTCTCATTTTATTAAGTTTAGAAGTATATTTTCATCTCTTTATATTAAGCTTTATTCTTTTGTAGTCTTACTTTGAATGGGTAGATATCGTCTTTATTAGTTCATTAATTGGGCAGAGAGCATTGTGGGGCAAAATCAGCCAAAGGAAATGTTAGAAAAAGGAAAGGTATTGTGTATTTAATTGATAAACAACTTAAATTGGCCTCTAAGTTAGAATACATTTTGATTCACATGGAAAATATTTTTTCAGCATCTCTTTGCCTTTCACTAAATACCTTTATACACTCTAAATGTTAGCAGATTTGATCAATTTAGAATATTTAAAACTACTGACAAGTGATTTTTTTTTAAAAAAAAGTGCTTTTGTTATTATGGTGCCTTACTCTCAAGTTTATTATTAAGGAATGCTTTCGTTAGAACATAAACATCTGAAAGTGACTTTTATGAAGAAAATACTGTGTGTGTCTCAGAAGGTCTATTTTGTTAACATCTGGTTAGTTTAAGTAAGGTTTTCTGTGATTTGTGAGATTTATGAAAATGAATGGTAGAATGAGTTTTTAAGTCATAAAACTCTAAGAAAGTAAATTGAAAACTTCTGACAGATGAACAGAACAAAGTTATTTCTATTTGTAGTTTAAAAACATATTTAATGCACATCTACTATAAAAAGAAAATGAATTATGCATAAATAGATAATAAAACTATGTAATATATATTTGAAATACATCCTGTGGGAAGGAACTTTTATTGTATAAAAATGCTTTGCTTCCAAATGCTTTATATTGTAGAAAGAATATATATATATATTTTTTTGTTAATCCTCACATGAAGATATTTTTTCCATTGCTTTTCAGAGAGTGGAAGAGAGGGAGGGGGAGAGAGAAAGAGAGGGAGGAAAAGAGAGAGAGAGAGAAACATCAGTGTGAGAGAGACACATCTACTGGTTGTCTCCCATGCTTGCCCTGATCAGGGGTGGGGAGCGAACCCTAAACCCAGGCATGTGTCCTTGACCAGGTGTCAAACCCATGACCCTTCCGTGTGCAGGTCGATGTTCTATTCACTGACCCACACTGGCCCAGGCTAGAAAGAATATTTTTAAAAAATTAATTTTATTAAACCATAGGATTTAGTCTTAGTTTTATAGTGTGAAGACATTTTTGTTAAAGATGACCCCAGTCACTATTTGATTTTGTAAACGAATATCATTTATTGTACTCCAGTTGAAATTTAATTACCTTACTTTGCATAAACTTAGGCTCTCAAATTGTGTTTTTTTGTTTTTATTTTTATTTTTATTTTTTTTAAATATATCTTTATTGATTTCAGAGAGAGGAAAGGAAAGGGAGAGACAGAGATAGAAACATCAATGATGAGAGTCACTGATCGGCTAGCCTGCAACCAGGGCATGTGCCCTGACCAGGAATCAAACCCCGATCGCCTGGATCCCAGGTCGACGCTCAACCACTGAGCCAAGCCTGGCCGGGCTTTTGTTTTTATTTTATGTTTCTTTTTTTAATTTACATTTTACTTTTCAGTTAGAGTTTAGTTCCAGGGGTAGAGCATAATGGTTAGACAACCATATGCTTTACAAGGTGTTTCCCGATATTTCCAGTACCCGTCTCGCACCATATTTAGTTATTATAATATTATTGTCTATATTTTCCCTGTAGTACTTTACATTCCATGTCAGATTGTCTTAATATAAGGAGTGTCAAGTGAAAAAGTAAGAGTGAATTTAAAAACAGATTCTTTAGTATCCAAGTTGTTGGAAACTGTTATTATGGTACTGAAATATTTTAATGTTCTGTACTTATTAATACATTGAAGTCTACTTGAATATATATTTTTTACATTATAAGTTGTTTAATATGAGATTTCTTAAGATTTCAAGATATGTTCTCACCAATTTTTTTTTATAATTGATTTTAGAGAGGAAGGGTGAGGTGGGAGAGAGAAACATCAGTGTGAGAGAGTAACATCGATCAGTTGCCTGTGGTACCCACCCCTACATGGAATTGAACCCAAAACCTGGGTATGTGCCCTGACTGGGAATAGAACTGCAGCTTTTCGGTGTGTGGGACAATGGTTTAACCAATTGAGCCACTCAGCCAGGGCTGCAGATATTTTTAGTATGATAAACAACCCAAAGCATTTAAACATGAGCATACCACGTTATAAGGGGTCATTATTAATAACCTGCTTCTTTCTTTTTACATAGGAAATTTTAAAGTGACTTAAAAACTACCATCTATACAGATTTTTATAAATACACATTTTCTCATTTATTGGTAACATTATAAATTTAAAGCTTTTTGAAGTTTATCCTAAAGTGCCTGCTATGTCTTGCCAAAATGCCTAATTATATGCTAAAATACTGCTGTAGAAATTTCAGTTTTGTCATTTTTTTTCCTTGTGTACATTAACAATAACTATTAAGTTAATTTTCACACTGTAATGTATAAAAGCATAGTATGAGTGTGTCTTTTGCATATTTATGTTTATAGATTAGAAGAACTGGCTGTACTTTGTGCTAATTATGACATTCCACATATAGTCAACAATGCTTATGGATTGCAGTCTTCGAAGTGTATGCACCTCATTCAGCAGGTAAGAGAGTTTAAAAATGTATATCAAGAAAAAATGGATTTTAACATATAGGATTATTACTTTGTTTTTCTTGTAATCTAATATAGTAAAAACAGTTATCTGGCACCCTCTACTTTATGAAGCAATAGAAATTTACATCCAATATTCACTCAGTAAAAGTCATTTTTTGGTAGCATGGTGGTAATTGGATTAATAGCTTTAGTCAGAACCAGCATAGAAATATGTTAGGAGCCTGGCCGGGTGTGGCTCAGTGGTTGAGCATCGACCTAGGATCCAGGTGATCGGGGTTCGATTCCCAGTCAGGGCACATGCCCGGGTTGTGGGCTCGATCAATGACTCTCTCATCATTGATGTTTCTATCTATCTCTCTCCCTCTCCTTTCCTCTCTCTGAAATCAATAAAGATATATTTAAAAAAAAAAGAAATACGTTAGGAGCTTAGTTTTTAACTTTCTAAGAATGTTGTATTACCAGGATTCTCATTTTTCTAATATACGGATTATAATACTTTTAAAACTATATCAATGATTTGTTCTGTATTCAGGGAAATCACTTTACCTTCTTGTCCTAGACTGGAAATGACTTTATTTATAAACATTCTAGCATATAACTATGGAGTAGGCAAGTTTTAAAATATTTTATGACTTATTTTATTTTTATAAACATCAACTAGATCCCGGTCATCTGTTTTAGATTCTTATTTTGAAACTATGCTTGGGTTTCCTGTCCCACTCAGAATAAGGGCCACAGCCACTTCGTGTATTCAGGCCTCTGCACCTTCTCTGATTGCATTCCTGCTACTCTCCTTGTACCCATTGTCTCGTCGCACCTGCCTTCTTTCTGTTCCTCCGTCACGCCACATGTGCACACACCACCAGACTTTTGCTCTTGCTCATCCCCTCCCGGGATTGCTCTTCTAGAGAGTTGCATGGCTTCCTACCTCACTTTTCTTTAGGTTGAGACCTTATCGGACACCCTGTCTAAAATAACACCTCCCTCTTCCTTTCCAGCATTTTAATAGTTCCCTTACATTTACTCCAGTGTTGTTTACTTAACCTGGGAGTGCTGTGTTTTGGTGCTCGCACACATTTTTGAATACCAGAAATCTGTTTTCGTACTTGAAGAGATTAAGACTAAAAGAAAATGAGCTCCAGGCTGTGATATGAAAGGTTCCCTTGTAGTTGTGAATCAAGAATACCCTACTCTGTCATCACCTCTCTTCATTCATGAGGTAGTTTTACTAAAATTTTAACCAGAAAACACTATAAGATTGGTGAATGAATTATTTTATTTTTTAAAAATATATCTTTATTGATTTCAGAGAGAGGAAAGGAGAGGGAGAGAGAGAGAGAGAAACATCAATGATGAGAGAGTCATTGATCGAGCCCACAACCGGGGCATGTGCCCTAACCAGGAATCGAACCCCGATTGCCTGGATCCTAGGTCGACGCTCAACCACTGAACCATGCCCGTCCGGGCTGAATTTTTTTAAATGTAGCTATTTTGTTGTTGCAGATACTGTATTACCTTCTAAAATTGTCATTTATTCACAATTTTTAAAAAGGCAGTACACAAACATTCCATTTTCCCCACAAAGTGCTCCTCACAAGTGGAGGTGGTGGCACAGTTCCTTTAAATCAAATAAGTACTTGGGTCTTATTGAGTGCTGGTCACTGTTTCATGACATTCTTAAAAAATTAGTTAGCTTTAATTCTTCCCAGTAGTTCTTATTAGTAATATATACCATTTAGTCAGTACCCACTATGTGTCAGGCAGCCTGCTAGACTTTTAAAGTTTATTAACTTAACCGTAACAATTTAAGGTGTGCTTCTTATTGTTTCTAGTCAACAAATAAAGAAACAAACTCAATAGGATTAAGTGACTTGACCAAAATCTGAAGCTACAAAATGGTGCATACAGTTCACTGTGACTCCAAAGCCCCATATTTTGCTCTAAAAGACAAAGTAATAAAACTGCAAATACTTCCTTAGGAAGTTGGTATTGTAATAATGAGGCAACCAGTGAAGCAAGAGCTATAACTAAAATGTGTCAGGATTCTCTTTTTTTAAAGGGCAATGCCCTAAAATGACTTAAAGCTGCACATATAGAACCTTCAATATGCACATGTAGTCCCCAGGAAGTTAGCTTTGAAGAGCCTATACTTCCATTTATGTACTGAACTGACTAATTTAGGAGACTCATGGAATGTGGATGTTAGGACAGCTTAATGGCAGGGGATATAGTAGAATTACAAAAATACATAGAATTAATTACTTTAGAGTCAGAATGGATTGTAAAGATCCAAGGTGTAGGAAGCAGCAACTTAGCTTGTTAAGAATTTGAGAGAAATAGGTCTTATACTACTCATTCACAGATGTAATTGTCAGGTCATTCAACAGATATATACAGGGTTTCCACAGGCACCAGGATAGGTGTTAGGGATAGGTGTTAGGAATGTAGTAGTAAATACAGCAAAACCCTATCCTCATGGAGCAGAAGCAGACGGTAAACAATAAGTAAGACAGGTATTGGTTAACGCTCTGATATTTTGGCGGGGGAGGGGTGTCAGAGTAGATGGAGTGATCCAGGATCCTCTTCTGGAACCAGGCAGTTGGGAATCCGCGTATGTAGAGGACCAACTTAAGTTATTAATGGATTTTTGACTGCAGGCGCCCAGTACCCCTAATCCCCTCTTTGTTCAAGGGTCAGCTGTAAGTATTATTCACTGCTGCTATCCCCAGAATCTAGAACGATGTTTGGCAGGTGATGAGTGCCCACATATTTGTTCTGTGAATAAATGAGTAAATGGATGAACTGATAAGTGGCAAAAACCTTTACTTCATAGAACATGCTTCTGTTTCCAGTTCTACTTTAGCGCTCCCACCCTTCGAGTGTTTTTTCCTGCTCTTTGATAGCTTCTGATTTTAGTGTGGAGAATGAGGTCTGTATATACCCTTCCAGAGATTAGGGCCAGCCTGTTTTCTTTCCACAGGGTGTGCTGCCTTTCCAATACTTTCCTGTGTTTTAGTGATGAAGGGGTTTAGCAAAGTCTGGGGCACTGATTATTCTCTCAGCACTCCTCCCATGTTTCTCTCAGGAAGCTTTGGACAGTAGTACTAAAGTGTTAATAAAAGGCAACTGTAACTGTTCCACTTTATTTTTATGTGCTACTACTTTGCATGTTTTTCAGTTATTTATTCTATTAGTCTTGTATGCTTCTGTTTTCCTGTGATATGGTGAGATTTTCTCTGATCACAGTTCATGAGGAAATTAGAAGAGTTATGGGAAGTTTAAGATTTAACTAATCATGTGATAGCCTCCAGCCTTTGCTGCTTCTACCTGTTGCTTGGATCTGGTCTCTTAGATTAGGCCAGCTATCTGCTACTGCCATTCTTTCCAAGATACGGATGTAGAGAGAAAGTGTAAACTGAAGGTCAAATGCGTTTATAATATTAATAGGAATGTAGATTCTGAATACAGATTGAAAATCTGTTGCCACAGATAAAGAAGAAAAACTATCTTAGCTGAAATTTAGATAGTATCTCTATTTAAGAGGAGAAAATTGAAGCACATTAGACAGAAGGTCATAGACTGTGTTGGATGGGGACTAGAATTTGGTTTTATATTTCTGGTAAGTAAGTATTCAATTTTTCACCAGAATATTAGATTTTCACTTGAAGTTCACCTGCAGTAGAATGAGATCATCTAAGATAATAACATTAGGAATCATGAGTTAATATAGAAACATTGCCAAGAGTATACAAAAAAATTTCCGTTAGTTGATGTTAAAAATAAAAATTTTCTTTTTCTCTTTTGTTATCTGAGTGGTGATAGGAGCAGATTTACTGCTTTAAGTGCTCATGCGGGTAGTAGATTATCCAAGAATCAAAGAGAGGCACTTAAATATGTAAACTAATTGATTGGCAGCGTGGGTTGCTAAGTCCATTAGATTATGGTGGCCACCCTTACCCTTACCGAGGGTGTTTAAAATTACTTAATAGTTTTAGGTTCCACTGTTGACATTTATTACCAAATAGAAGATCACAGATGAGAGGCACAGGAGGAAACCACTCTTTCTTACCCAATTTTAAGGTGAAAAGCTCTGTTTCAATATAGTTCCTACCTGAACTGATACTGAAACCCTGCCTTTCTCACAGGGTTGTTGTGAGGATTAAGTGATTTTTGTGTGAAAGCAGGCTGTAAACTATAAAGTGCTCTTACACATATAAGGAGTGTTTAAAAACTCAGTTTAAAACTTAAAAATGTATTATTGGCACTGTTGCAAAGATATAAAAATATTTTGTTTTTTATTTTCATGCATTATGTTAATGGTATTTATTTGTTAATAGCCATTGTTGTCTCTTCTTCTAGAAACAAATATGTAATGCTACATGTTATTTCATTCTAGGGGGCTCGGGTTGGTAGAATAGATGCCTTCGTTCAGAGCTTGGACAAAAATTTTATGGTTCCAGTAGGTGGCGCTATAATTGCTGGCTTTAATGATTCTTTCATTCAGGAAATCAGCAAGATGTATCCAGGTAAATAAATTAGTTGCTCTTCAGAAAAAGTAACTAACAAACAAAAGTCCATTTGTATATAAGCTACTATAATAAATCTTAATTTCTAAAGCTTTTTTACCCTCGTGAGTATAACTTGTTCTTATTTCAGGAAGAGCTTCAGCTTCACCTTCTTTAGATGTCCTTATTACTTTATTATCACTTGGATCAAATGGCTATAAGAAGCTATTAAAAGAAAGAAAGGTAAGCCTTTCCTTTAGGTGTAAAATAATACTCCGGACTAGAATGGCACTCCAAATCATTGGTGTTTTTGCCTATTGGTTTATCATTTTGATTATAGGTATCTAGTATAGTCCTATGGGATATACTTTGATCTGGAACCACCATAAGTGGTTTGCAATTAATCATTGTCATCTTGTTTATCCAGATATTCTGAGGAATCTTGGACAGGTGATTTTGCTTTTTTGTTTGTTTGTTTTGAGAAACTCCTACATCAAGGATTCTTAGTTCAGTAAAATTCAATTCATTTATCACTTAGATAGAGGTTCTTGAAAGACAAATGGAAAAGGCTTTTCTTTTTAGTTTTTGGAAGCCTGGAGACCTGTTTAGGTGAGATATCAGTTAAAGAAGGAAGAATCAGGTCAGAAATAGACCAGCTTCTCATTCTAAAATAATAAGTTTATCCCTTGCCATTATTGGAATGTTGAACTCATTGGTTATATTGACTATGAAAAGAAAAGTGACATTTGTGCTTGAAAACTGGGCTTTGTCTCTGACACTAAAAACTAGCTCAATTCAAGATAGCTCTAAAATTGTAGACAGTGTTGGCAGGGTGAGTCAGACTAAGATGTTTTATTCATTTATTTTCTGGGAGAGCTAGAGGTCCCTGGTGCTGTGTTTGTATCTATAACTTTTCTAATACTTAGTAGCACTTATAGTGTCTTGGATTTTCTAATAGTACTTTACATATTTTTAAATATTTTTATCTATATTATCAGATAGATCCTCTCAACAGCTTTATGAATAAGTTGAATAATTTTTGTGCCCTATTTTACCCTAGTTCCCCTACCCCACTTATTCAGTCTATAGAAAAGTAATGATTTACTTTTTATTGTGAGAATCTCTCTTAAGATTTACATAATATAGGAAAAGATGCTCAACATCATTAGTCATTAGGGAAATGCAAATTAAACCCGCAATTAGATTACCACTACATACACGTCTATTAGAATGGCTAGTATCAAAACAAACACCTGAAACTGTTAATTGTTGGCTAAGATCTCAAGCAAGTAGAACTCAGACATTGCTGGTAGGAATGCAAATGGTACAGCAACTTTGGAAAACACTTTAGCAGTTTTTTATAAAGTTAAATATATACTTACCATGTAAACTAGCCATCCCACCCCTTACTACTTACTCAAGAGAAATGAGAATTTATGCCTGTACAAAAACCTAGACATGAATGTTTATAATGATTTTATTCTTAATTGCCAGAACCTGGAAATAATTCAAATGTCCATCATCTGGTGTATAAACAAACTGTGGTACATACATACACAGCAATAAAAAGGAACAGACTACTAATATACACAACATCATAATGACTCTCAAATGCATTGTGGTAAATGAAATAAACCAGACTCAAAAATTCTACATATTTTTCATATGATTTCATTTGTATGTCATGCTGGAAAAGGCAAAAAATATCAGGACAGAAAAAAGATGAATGGTTGCCAGTGACTTGATTTGGGGGAGGGGACTATTGTGGTAAATTGTGGGAGTAGTTTCATTACTGTTACATGTTTTTCAAAATTCATAGAAGTGGACACATGGAAAGTGGACATTTGAAATTTTACTATAGGTAAATTATGCCTTGATAAACCTGAGAAAAAATGATTAGAATAAAACTCCAGTTTGATAAACTCCAAAATGTAACTGGCCATAGATTGTAGTAGCCAAGAGAAGACCTCAGAAAATATTTTAAGGAACCTTCTCCCAAGGACAGATGAAGCCGTTGTTCACAGATGAGGAAAACTGTCATCTGCCTCTATGAGAGTTTAGTTGTATCCTATACCAATGGGTCTTTGCTCTCTCGTAACTAGTTGTTTCATTATGGAAAAGATACTTAAATTTGCAGATTTTATTTCCTCATTTGTGAAAGAAATAATTGATATCTCAGGCCGCTTCTGGTTTTACAGACTAAATATTTCTTAAAATAAAATAGGTATATCTTAGGCCATGGGCATTATAATCATGGTAATTGGCCTGTAATTTAGTAATCGAGCACAAGTCACATTGGTAATTTATAAATCAGACATTTTGTAAGGGTGAAAATTTTAAGATGATGGTCTCTTCAATTTCATGGTACCTCATATCCATTTCTACCCCTATCCGTCTGTCTTGGCCCCCCATTTGAACATTGACAACCCCACATAAAATTGAATGGTCTAAAGTATGGACCAGTGTTTCTATGAAATTCACAGTACGTAAAATTGAGTGTGGGATAAGTTTCCTGGAGTGAATACTTAATTTACTAAGTATTTATTGAGCATATATTATGTTTCAGGCACATTATATTGACATAGCAGTCAATAAAATAGACAAAAGATATCTGCTCTTGTGGAGCTTACATTGCATATGGGGGAGATCAGCAATGAACAAGTAACATAAAACATGAATTACAAAGGTTGCTTAATACATAAATTATAATGGTGAAAGGTACTCTGGAAAAAAGGAAGAACAGAGTAAAATAAGGGAAATTGGGGATGATGATGTGGTGGTGGTGGGGATTGATTATTTATTTTTATTTATTTATCTATTTTTATCCTCACCTGGGGATTTTTTTCCATTGCTTTTTAGAGAGAGTAGAAGGAGGAGAGATAGAGACATTGGTGTGAGAGAGACACATTGATTGGTTGCCTCCTGCACGTACCCCAACCGGGGCCAGGGATCGAGCCTGCAAAAAGGTATGTGCCCTTGGCCAGAATCAAAACTGAGACCCTTCAGTCCACAGGCTGACGCTCTAACCACTGAGTCAAACTGGCTAGGGCAGAATTGATTTTTTAAATACAGTGGTTAGGGCAGTCTTCATTGAGAAGGTGACAGAATCTGAGTTGATGTGAAATTTGAGGGAATATACACATGTGATGGAGAAGAGTGCTTCAGGCAGGAAGCCAGTACAAGGACCCAGGGCAGACATGGTGTGTTTAAAGAGCAGTAAAGTGGCCAGTGTGTCTGGAGCAAAGTGAGCAAGGAGAGTTGTGGGGGCTGAGGCCAGGGTGGTAATGGGGGTGGGCTGATCGTATAGGGCTTTCCAGGCCACAGTAAGGCCTTTGCCTCATATTCTAAGTGAAATAGGGGGTTAGTTACTGGTGGGTTTTGAATAGAGGAGTATCGTGACCTGACTGACTGTGAAGGACCACTCTGATTGCTATGTTGAGAATAAATTAAAAGGGCAAGAATAGAAGCTGGGACCCTCATTAGGAGGCTTTTACAGTAATCAAGAAGTGATGTTAGCTTGAATCTAGATAGTGACAGTGGAAGTGATGAGAAGTGGTTGGATCCTAGGTCTGTTTTAAGCCAATTGGAGTTCCTGATGGATGTCTTGTATGACAGAAAAAGAGAAGTCAAGAATAATTCTGAGCTTTTTGACCTGAGCAATTGGAAGGATGGAGGAGCCATTAACAGAGATGGGTAAAGCCTGTAGGTTTCGGTAGAAGGCCAAGAGTTCAGTTTCTGACAAAATTGAAGTCAGGATATTTGTTGACATCTAGATAGAGATGTGGGATATGAGTCTTGTGTTAAGAGATAGAACTGGGCTGGAGGTAAAAATTTGGGGAGTTAATTGGCCAGGAGATTAGATGAGATCACAAGAGTGAATCTAAACAGAAAAGAAGCCCAAGAACTGAGCTCTGGGGCACTCCAACATCAAGAAGCCTGGGAGAGGAAAAGGGACCCGCAGAGGAGTTTCAAATAACAAAAACTTGAAGAGGAAACATAATGTTAGCACTTCTTGACATAGTATTAGTTTCAGGTGTACACTCCAGTGATTAGGCATATAACTAAGTGGTCATCCTGATAAATCTAGTACCCGTCTGACACCATACATAGTTATTACAATATTATTGACTATATTCCTTATGCTGTATTTTACATCCCCGTGACTATTCTGTAACTACCAATTTATACTTCTTAATCCCTTCACCTTTTTTACCCCTACCCTCGTACCCCTCCCATCTGGCAACCATCAAATGTTCTCTGAATCTATAAGTCTGTTTCTGTTCTGCTTGTTCGTTTATTTTCATTTTTAAATTCCACACATAAGTGAAATCATGTGGCATTTGTCTTCCTCTGACTTACTTTACTCAGCATGATGCCCTCTAGGTCCATCCATGCTGTCGCAGGTGCAACATTTTATTCTTTTTTATGGCTGAGTCATATTCCATGGTGTATATGCACCACTTCTTTATCTGTTCATCTTCTGATGGACACTTAGGCTGCTTCCATACCTTGGCTATTGTAAATAATGCTACAGTGAACATATGGGTGTATGTTTTTTCAATTTTTAGTGTTTTGGGTTTCTTTGGATAAATACCCAATGAAACTTGGTCCTTAATTATAGGTAGTCTAGGAGACTAGTGTCTACCTTGGAGTTTGTCATTGATCCTTTTTTTTTTT